ATTCCACTCAGTGGTATTCGGTTCGACGACAATAGATTTGAGTGAATGATTGGAAAACTCCCTTTTCTTTATGTTTATTTACGTAGAAAATTGAAAAGATGCTAGTTGAGCTAGTTGACCTGAATTTACACCAGTATCCTAAATTTACTTAGCGTGGATACCAACACTAACCATCTATATGATTAGATACTATATGATGAATCGGCTCGAGAAAAACCTTGTATAGCTTCTTCGATTTCTCGATAAAAAGAAATATACAAAATGTCACAGGTTCAAATCCTGTCATCCCTATTCCTAACGATTAGTTATCGTATGAGCAGTAACAAGAGATCAATTTTGAGCGATTCAAATTGGACATAGATACTCAAGTTATATGAATAGTTTTCCATATTGAGTTTGTATGCATGCAATATGTATTGCCATTTCATAAAGTTCTTTAGGAAAAGAAAGCGCTCTTAGTTCAGTTCGGTAGAACGCGGGTCTCCAAAACCCGATGTCGTAGGTTCAAATCCTACAGAGCGTGATACAATTCTTCTTAGATGGAGAATGAGACTAAAATAATGGGATAACAGTCTAGTCTAATCAAAAAAAAGTGTTAATTGGATCTCCTGTCAATTAGGATTAAAAAAAAACAGGAGGTCAATAAACAAAAGAGACAGTACTAAATCAAATATCCAACTGATCGCCACGTCGGTATTGTAAATAGGCCGTTACAAATAATCCAGCCAAAGTAATAGGAATTAGACCTAACACGATTCCAAATAGAAAAACTTCAATCATTTGAGTTTGGTTGAAAGTAAAATAAGGTGGGGATAATATCGATCCTTAAATATGAATTTATATTGACCATGAATCTCAATGACCAAGAATTGGAAATATGATAAGAAACTATCAATATCCAAAATATTCTACAATTTCCAATTCATCTCTAAATTGCAAATCAAATAAGTCGTATCTTACTCAGACTGATAAAAATACCTGCGGTTATAGTTAAAACTGCTAGTATAAAACCTAAATAACTGGTTATAGTGGGCATAAGGAAACTAGATGAAATATATTCTTTTTATACATATGTTTATAAAGCACTTTCCTAAGTTTCCATTTTTTTTAGATCCAAATAGGTAAGCAAAAAATACCAATTGAAAGATACAATTGAAAATAATGGATTCATGAATCCATTATTACGGATGAACAAAAAGAAAAATATAGTTACATAGGTAAGAAATCAATTCATCATCTGTGACATCTACCCAGCCTATGATTCCAAATCAACCGATTTATTGATCAACTCATGACATGAGTTGAGTAAACGAAAATATTTTCATTTTTTCATTTTTTTTATATATTTTATATATATATTTTTTTATATTTTATATATATAAAGCTCTATCTTTGTAATGAAACCAAGAAAGACCCATACGTAGACTTTTTGTGTCTAATATAAGAACAACGAATGTTCATTTTGAAGAAAAAAAGGATTCGTTGTTCTTGTATTAGTATCCATTGTCTGCATTCACTGATATAAACACGCATATCAAAAAAAGTAAACCCCCACCACCATTGCGTATTGTTACTTATCAGATATAGAATAGATCTGCTTCTTTTTGTTCCTACGAATAGAATGCTCCTTTGTTTCTAAAAAACTCGAACAAATATAAATTCTTTAATGTGAGATAATTTACTAATACTAATTAAGGGGAGGGTCTATAGCAAGCATAGTTTTTTACAGTGCAATAAAGTTACATAATGTCTATTTTTTGTTAATATAAGGGGTATTTTCATGGGTTTGCCTTGGTATCGTGTTCATACCGTTGTATTAAATGATCCCGGCCGTTTACTTTCTGTCCATATAATGCATACAGCTCTGGTTGCTGGTTGGGCCGGTTCGATGGCTCTATATGAATTAGCAGTTTTTGATCCCTCTGACCCTGTTCTTGACCCAATGTGGAGACAGGGTATGTTCGTTATACCCTTCATGACTCGTTTAGGAATAACCAATTCGTGGGGTGGTTGGAATATTACAGGAGGCACTATAACAAATTCGGGTATTTGGAGTTACGAAGGTGTGGCCGCGACACATATTGTGTTTTCGGGCTTGTGCTTTTTGGCGGCTATTTGGCATTGGGTCTATTGGGATCTAGAAATCTTTTGTGATGAACGTACTGGAAAACCTTCTTTGGATTTGCCAAAAATATTTGGAATTCATTTATTTCTTGCAGGGGTGGCGTGTTTTGGTTTTGGCGCCTTTCATGTAACAGGATTGTTTGGTCCTGGAATATATATATACATATATATATATATATATATATATATATATATATATATATATATATATATATATATATATATATATATATATATATATATATATATATATATATATATATATATATATATATATATATATATATATATATATATATATATATATATATATATATATATATATATGTTTGATGTTATTCAATGTTTAGATTTTCCGCTTTTATTCTAAATATTGAGATGTGGGTGTAAGGACTAAGTTCCTCTGTTGCAAGGTTACCCCACTGTTGCATATCTTTTGTTGAGCAGGTGTTGTATGTTTTAATTTCTTGCGTAATGTAATGCGCCTCTTTTATACCATGTTTATAATTATACTCTGACAAAATTTGTAATATGTGACTAATTGTTTATGTGATTATGTGGGGGTATAGAAAGGGGGTGTTACATTAACAACTCTTTGTGTATTTTTATTTTTTGCATCTTTAACTATTTTATATTTTGTCCTTGTGTTTTAAACAGATATCAGTGTCTCAACATATCTTAGGACATCTAATATCTGCATACCAGAATTTCAATTGGTATTAACATTGTGAAGAATTCCAATTGGTATCAACATTGTCCAAGTTCTAACGGTCAAAGGACAATATGTTGTTAACAGTGTGAAGAATTATTGTCAAGAATTGAACGTGTATTTATTTTCTAATACAATTTTATCTATCATATCATAATTTCTAATACAGTTTAGAAAGCTATACATTCGATAAAGGATTGGAAAAACACTCAAATCACATAATATATAAAAATTCATCTTTTAAACAAACATTAACAATGATATTCATCAACAAGAAACCATAAACAACAAAAATGATACAACAAACATATCAAGTCATAAAATGCTTCAGAAATATACCATACATGTCCCATTAAGGCGTGTTGTCAATGAAATAATGATAAAGATACATTTAGACCTGCAAACTTGTGTAGAATTTGAATGGATGTCACTCTGGATCTTTGGCACAAGTTTGTAAGGCTAAATTTATCTTCGTCCTCTTTCTTGAAAGAAGCATCCATACCTACATGTCAAAATAATAAAGAAGTTCAAACATCAAGAAACAAGCTATTGAAACAGATTTTGAAAAAACCTATAGAGAAAACGAAGATGTAAATATCCATTGGCTAAGATTTGTTGTTATGGTTTTGTTTTGGGGTTTCCATATGAGAGAGAAGAGTGAGAGATGTGTTAGGGTTTTGTTTTGAGATAGACGAGTGAAAGAGTTGTTAGGGTTTTGTTTTAAGAGAGACAAATGTAATTGTTAGTTCCATGGAGCTATGATATAGAATTGTCCATGATTCTATGATTGACTAGATTTTGGTAAAACATGATCCTGCACTGATGATAAGCAGGATGTTATGACATCTCCATCTGCTGTGATGAAAGAACTTTTGTGGAGTGTTTTAATGTGAATGTCATGTTGAATGTCGTGACATCCATCACGAAATCCATCTGCTGTCATGACAGAACTAATGTCATGTGTGAGAAACAGCAGGAGTAGTGGTGCAGCCGGAGCTGATAACAGAACAGCTGTCAAGTGTTGACATCTGATGCAGCAGGAGCTAACAAGAGCATATGACAGAAGTGTTGTCATGGATGCAGAAGGAGTTGATGACAGAACTGCTGTCATGGATGTCGTACTGAATGTCATGACATCATGTCTGGTACAGCAGGGGCTGCTATGACAGAAGTGTTTTGGTACTGTTGGACATTCCTCATCAGTATGTACAGGCCAAAGAGATTCATTAGGAACAAAGTGAAGATTTAATGAGTGTTCATAAAAAGGATCTTTGAGACTTTTTAGGAAAGTATGATATGCATGTTTCTACTGCCATGAAGAAGATTCTGCAAAAATGTGCGGCAGTGCAAGCTGGTCAGCTAAGAGTAAGTGAAAGTTGAATGTCATGACATTGATCGTATGACATCAGACGGGCAGAGTTTGTTTTTTGTTATGATACTTGATATATCTCAGGCTAAATTTCAGGAAACTTGTTATGACTTCTTAGTTATCTTAGACGAAATTCTAGGCAGTATCATGACCTAATTTGACAGCACCTTGATCAGTGGAAATTAGGTTTACTTTGTTAAACCTAATGTTTGTTACTTTGAAGCAGCCCAAGCCCAGTCTGCAATGCTATAAAAGGAGGAGCAGAAGCAGAAGAAATTAAGCACTCACATCAAGAAAAACCAGAGTGTAAAATAGAGGTCTAGGGTTGAGAGTCCCTTGTGTGTAAGTCACCATTTGTATCTTTTGATACAATGAGGAAGACATATTTGTAAGTGAAGAAGGCTAGTCTTCACGTGCAAAGTCTGTTTAGGAATACTTGTAAACCAAGCAATTGTCTGGTTGATGATTGCATTGGTTAGGTAGATTCTAGGTTGTGCCTCACTCAAAGCTGTGAAGCAAGAGTGTGTGAGTTCCTTGATCAAAGCTGTGAAGCATGATCAAGGTGTATATGAAGTGTCTCTTCATATTGATTTCTGTAACTGTTTGATATCACTGTTGTGTGATTGAGGGGGAGTGAGTAGGTATACTCAGGTCTAGAGTGTCTCTAGGTTGAAGTGTCATTGGGTAGAGATTAAGTGAGAAGTGAAAACTGGTTGTTTGACTTTGAGTTGATTATGCTAATAGTGAATTTCCTCCCTGGCTTGGTAGCCCCCAGATGTAGGTGTTGTTGACACCGAA